CTTTCCTCACCCACTCACTTTCTCTAACTCCTTACCACCCCGTGTCCACTCTTGCCCTCCCTTGGCCGCCTGTTGTACCTTACAGAGCCGTGATGACACCAACTGGATGAAGCACACTGTCGGGTATAGTCACACTCTTTTTCGTCACCCCTTCTCCTTTCCTTCTCTCCCATCTGCTAATTCCAGCTTGTTTACAAACCGTTTGTAGGCCGTACTGTTGGTTGATTCGCTTGTTGTTGCCCCTGTCACACTTCATGCTCCTAGTCCTGTTTCTGATCACCTAGATAGCACCTTATCGTTGCTCACCTTCTTGGCTCTCGGTGTCCTTGCATGGTTCAGGTATTGGGATGACGGCAAGGTTAAGCTTGATTATCGTCCGGTGCACCTGAACACTCTTGACGATCAAGTGCAGACCTTCCCACCCAAGGCTCGGGTGTACTAAATCAACTATTCGGCGACCAAAGAAACCGCTTAGTATGGACATGCTACGACTGATGTGCTGTGCCCCTACTGCCAATTGTGGCGTACAGGTGTCTTGAGTTGGAATATCAATGGAATGTAGCAACCTACTATCACATTACTCTAAATAAATTACTAGTGTAGAAAATGTTGCGTTTGTTTTTGTTACACCTCGTAACCACCCTACAAAATCTGCAGATTTGCAGGGGCTTGGTCGAACCGCGAGGATGGCCTTCACCTCCCGGTTTCCTCCAAACCCATCCGCACCGTCCAAATTTCGATGCCGCGTTTATGAAATCCGCCGCCCCTCGGTGCATCCGCCAGCGACTTCGCCATGACGCGAGATATCGACCGTCGATCCTTTAAATAGGGGCTCTGCTGGCTTACTGACCGTCAGACTTGGCCCCTCCTTACATATCAACCGTCCCCGCACGCGACTCCGTCGTTCCTGCCTCCCTCCTCCTCACTCCCCTTCACCACTTCTCTCGTGTCGGCGGTCGGAAAGATTCACTTGCCTCACTAGCCCCGTGTTACTGGATTCACGAACTTGGCTTTTCGTGCGAATTTCGAGCATTCCGCCGCCATCGATTGCAGACCACTGAAAAAGGCTTCTTTGTGCGTCAGACTCAGCATTTCCAACTCTTCTGCAACTGGTAAATTCGAGTGGAGGACGATGCCGCCGAACGCGTGGCAGGATTCGGTATCAGTCGATGAAGCAGTGGATGGTGCTAAGCCGTTGATTGACTACGAAACGTCTCGGAACCATGCAGCAGAATTAGCAGAACCAGCGGACGAGTTAGCAAAGGCATCAGTGGATTTAGCTCCGTCACGAGAACCCGCGGAATTAGCGGAGCTCTGCAGCGTGAACCACGCGGCAAGGTCACAGAACGGCACGATTATCGAAGCAGGCAGCCAGAATCTTTGCCGGCCTGAAGAATGTTACGAAGCTCCACGATTTTCGCGAATGGCGTGGCTCTTTTGCACGCCCGCCCTCATCCCCTGGCGTTACGCGAGTTCATCAAACCCGGACCTTCCCACTCACTCCTCCTCCCCTGACGTGTCACATCCTACCGACGTCGAAAGAATTTCCGAATATCCGCAGATGCTGCTCAGGTCACAGATTCTGACGTGGCATTGGCGCGCTGCAGTGCAAAAACTACTACCCAGCGACACAAAAACAACGAGACAGCAGAATCTCAGGGAATATCTCCCGCTGCTGCTGTTGCTGCTCCTAGCGGTGCTTCTGGCGGCTGTTGCGTTCCGCATGGGCCAGCCTCGGGGTGTTATCCTCGCTTTAGGCGGGTTCGCTAAGCCGCATGGGGCAGCTGTATGGCTGCAAGCGACTGATGATGTTCGCATGGGGTATACGAGTGCTAGTGATGCGGGTAACAGTACCAGCGATTTATCGTCGATCGCTGACACCTTGCCACCAACCTCCGCCACTCCCTTTCCCCCTCCCGCACAGCAGGAGCAGCAGAATCTTCAGAAGCATCATCAGCAGCAGCAGCAGTAGATGTACCTCATTCTTTAGGTCCGCTATCATCAGCACCACTGCCACCGTCAGCAGCACCTCAAGCATTGCCACAAGTGACTGGCGTCGTCCCTCCTTTCTGTAACATCCGCACAGGCGACTTCCCAGAGCTGCACAAGCCTCGGTTTCCCCGAGCCTGCGAAGGGTTTGTGTTCCGAACCTCCACCTCGACCACCATCCCAGCCTTGACAGAAAGTCCGATCAAAACCTCAGCCAACCATTCTCTCAATGCCCCAGTCAACAAGGTCAAGGGTCCTCTCGAAACCTTAGTGAACGAGGCAGTCAAGAACTCTGATAACGTTTTGGTCAACGGATTAATCGACACCTCAACCAGCATTTCGCGCCACAACTCAGTTAACGAAGCAGTCAACAGAGCATTCAACGGGTCAGTCAACGGGCCCGTCGATGGGTCGGTCAGAGTGGCAGTCAACCCCTTGGTCAGAGTGTCAGTCAATGAGTCAGTCAAAGAGGCGGTCAACGTGTCAGTGCTCTTCATACGGAACGACGGGCTCCACACAAACCTGGAACCAGCAGTCAACAGCACTTCTAAATCAGCCTACATTCCCTGGCTGGACTTGCTTCAGGAAACCACTGTTCCAGTCTCAGCACAAGCAGCAGAAACAGCAGCAGCGGTGGCGGCGGCGGCGGCGGCAGCACATGCGCAACTCTCAAACGAATCTGCACCGTTGATATCCTCTGCAGCCTTGGGATCTCCAGGAACACGAGAAACCAACCTAGGCATAACGCCTGTATCAAGTCTTGGGGGGTCTCAAAATTTAACGAGTCCTTCTAACGGGGCTGGATTGACTGTTGAGGAGCAACTCCTGGTCAATTCGCCAGTGTCAGTTCTGGTTCTGAACCGGGGCGCGCATTTTGTGGAGACTTCTCGCTTCGTATCAGAGCTAAATCATACGCTTGCTACAGTGCGAGCAGCTGCACCGCATTTGGTTATAATCTACAGAAGCACGCCTCCTGGCCATGATATGTGTAACCTGTGTGTGGAACCACTGAAGGTGCCACAGGAGAATGATGCATTGCCATTTTCCTGGGGAGAGTTTGCGAAGCAGAATGAGGAGGCAAGAAGGCTGGTTGAAGGCGTTGGTGGTGTCTTTTTGGATGTTGATGCCATGACATCACTTCGGGCTGATGGGCATTTTACTCCGAAGGATTGCTTGCATTATTGCTTGCCAGGACCACCTGATGAATGGGTGAGGTTGCTTTATAATGTGCTACTCGACTTGCTGTAAAGTATGTGTGCATAATAAGTTGAAAGGAATCTACTGTTTTTTTCAACGTTTTATGTTACCCGATTTTGGGTGGAGGGAGTTAATCAATGCATTGGGAAATTGTGATGCCTCCTAACGAAGCTTCAAATATTAACGATACGGAGTTTTGAGTCAATACAACGCGCTATAGTGGACAGCTTATCCCCGCTGCAAGAATAGAAGCAAACCCAAGGTGCCACGGCAAGTGCTGAGCAGAGCCAATCAAGGCAGCTCCCTCCAACAGTCGTCGGGAAAATCTGGCGAAGGTGGGACAATCAAAACACCCTCGGTTCGGCGAGAAGCGAGAATCGCCAGGGCGAAAACGACCAAGTTCACACCTTCGCCAGTGCTCGCAGTTCTCGGATGGATCATGGTCCATGTGTGTGAACTGCTAGAGATGCCTGAAGAAATGGATGGAGACTGTCGTGGGAGGATGTGTGGTGACAGTACTGTATGAGAAAAGGGGAGTGGAAAGATCTGCCAAGCCCACACCTGAGGATCATGTTCGATGGTTCTCAGACACTTCTTGCAACGCGGTTAGACGGATTTGAGAAAGATACGAAGTACAATACCGTAGTTGCAGTACGGTAGCAAGTCGATCCATTTTCGAAATTGCCAGCTTCCTAGAGCCAGAGCCATGAAACCATTCATAGAATGCAGAAACTGAAGCAAGATTAAAGCTTTTATTTTTCGAAGACTAGGCCCTTTTTGTTTCCTCCCTGACATCCCCCTCCCCCCCTCCTCCTCCATTCTACCCCCTGAATGGAGATCTAGGGCTCTAGATAGTGCCTGCCAGGGACACATGCAAGGCAGATAGGATTAGCTCGTTTAGATTTTATTTTCATTTGTATTAGATTATTTTTGTTGTCTTTCCTTTACATCTTGTGTATCTTTTTTTTTCAATCATCCTCGAAATCTTTCGAGAACCCTTGTGTTGAACCTAAGACGCCATGGCCGGACCGTCGTCCAGCGTCGCGCAAGAAGGACAAGGTGCTCATCTCACGTGGACAAAGTATAGCCTTTTTGTTATAATTGTTACGAATTACTCACTTGTTGTCTTTGTGCGCTTCAGTGAATTCACTGTTCTTCATAGCCTCTGCTTACGTGGACCTAATCTCTTGCCGATGATGAGCTAGTTCATTGCAGCAGCAGCAGCAGCAGCAGCAGCAGCAGCAGCAGCAGCAGCATGCATTCTAGCCGCTTAACACCAGTCATATATAAACTTTCATTTTTTTTCGCGGGTTTCTCTGGTCTGCTTGTTTATATTTCAACAGCTTCCAATAAGCCAGAGGGTTCTAGCGGCTCTAACGGAGCAGCAGCTTCCACTGCCGCGCCTCCATCAGCAGAGGTACATTTGCAATTCTGACCGCATAAAAGTTTTAAACTTGCAATTCTGATCGCATTTTAAGTTCTTAATGGTGTGCTCGTTTCCTCTCCGAGTGAAACGAGCACAAATGCGTCTGTTTCCGAGAAGTAGTACTCTTTTTTTATATCAGAGAGACTCTTAAACTCCACCAATCCGCATTCACCTCGTCCGCAAACAATCCTCGATACACTATCTATTCCGCAAAGGGTGTCAAGCCTCTCCCATCCGACGCGCGTGACCAGGCGGCGACAAATCAGAAGGCGACCTAATAATTATCTAAATAATATAATCCATATTACACGATTTCGTTTACGCAAATTTCAACAGCAGCAGGATTGTCGAATGTTTCTATGCCGCATTCCCGTTGATTCTTCGTCTCATGCAGGCTCCAGGAGCAGTAGGAGGTTCCCATGCAGCGCCAGGGGGGTCTTTCCAACCACCGCCTGGCGCCGTCGCCGCACCCGCAGGCCCTGGAATCGCCGCCCCGCCTGGAACCGCTCCCCCAGGCGCGGGGGTTCCGGGCGCAAGCGGAGCACCCGGCGCGGGGGGGGTGCCGGGCGCAGGGGGAGTAGCCGGGGGGATGGCGGGCGCGTCCCCTGTGATGCAACCGATGCCCGGGGGAATGCAGCACATGCAGCCGTATATGATTCCGCCTATGGGGCCGGATATGCATGGCATGTATTACCCCGGGAATGGATATGTCCCGCACTACTACTACGATTACTCCATGCCAGGTCAGCGATTGTTACTCATTAAATCAATTCCCGTTTCCGTCCACCAAGCCCCATTTCCCCGCTGCCGTTTCAAACCCACCCCCCCTTTCCCCCCATCCTTCCCCCCTCTCTCCCCCCCAACCACCACACCAATCTCTTTCCCTCCCCCGCATCCCCTCCCACACCTTCGTCCTCCCACCCACACCCTCCCCCCCCTCTCTTTCCCTCGGTGTATATTTCGTTGCATTCATCCTTCCGTTATTTACTTCGTGTCGCTCCACTCACCACCCAGTTGCCCCTTTTTCTCCTCCCTCTCGCGTCCCCTCTCGCCCTATGTTTCAAACAATCAAGCCTCTTTTCTTCTCCCTCCCCCCACTCCCCTCTCCCCAGGCTACGCGGATCCTCCGCGCATGCCCCCGGAGCAGTGGGAGGAGTACATGCGCATGGCTACGCGAATGGACGGGGGAGCGGGCATGATGGACGGGCAACACCCGCCGGTAGGTCTTTTAGGTTGTGTGCGTGACTTTTGAGTCGACTCCAAAGTCACTCGGAGGAGTGGTAGGAGTACATGCGCATGGCTGCGCGCATGGATGGGGGAGCGGGCATGATGGACGGCCAGCAGCCGCCGGTAGGTCGTCTGCATCGTCTGGGTAGTTTGCAAGGCCGTTTGCAAGGCCGTTTGCAAGGCCGTTTGCAAGGCCGTTTGCAGGGTTGTAGATATTTTTCCGGGTTATCTCGAGAATACCTCCAGGAGTGGGCATGATTGGACGGCCAGCAGCCGCTGGTAGGTCGTCCTACAGGGCCATTTGTAGGGCCGTCGCCGTCTGTAGGCTGGTCATTAGTTTGGTCAGTAGGCTGGTCAGTAGGCTGGTCAGTAGGCTGGTCGTTAAGCCCGATCACTAGGCTCCGTTTTTATGCCCATCTTTATGCGTCTTTAGGCTCATCTTTATGCCCCGTTTCAGCGACACGTTTCACTGAAATGCTCAGTAGGCGCTGCCTCCTAAACCTCCTGAAAACCCGTTGGAAAAAAGAGTAATTGAAACGCTCCTCTCAGCTTTATACTGTTTTTGTGCCTTATCAACTATCCCGTGCTGGTTCTTCTTCCTCATTTTACCTTTGCTTTGCACCCGTCTTTTGCCTACAGCCAGGATTCGGGTTTCACGTTCCACACTACCCGCACCCTCACATGCCACCCGGCTTCATGCCTCCCCATGCGCCTGGCCAACCACCCCAACCGCACATGATGCACCCACATCCACCTGGCCAGCCGCAACCCCCGCCGCCGCCGCTAACGGCGCAGCAGCAGTCACAACAGGGGCAGCAGCAGCAAGGGCAGGGGCAGGCGCAGCAGCAGGGGCAGGAGCAGGGGCAGGGGCAGGGGCAGGGGCAGGGGCAGCAGCCGACGCAAGGCGCGCAGCAGCAGCAACAGCAACAGCAGGATCAGAAGCAGGCACAAAGCAGCAACCAGCAGACAGGGCAGCAACCGTCAGGCCAGCAGCAGCAACAGCAGCAGCAGCAGCAGCAGCAGCAGCAAGTGCAACAGCAACCCCAGCAACCTCAGCAGCAGCAGCAGCAGCAGCAGGGCATGGCACTTCATCATCCCCCTCCCGGCTTCATGCCTTTCATGCCCCCGGGCGCGCACCCGTCCATGATGGGCGCGCACATGTTCGGCGCCCCTCCCCCCGGGTACCCCTTTCAAGGGCCTCCTATGTTCCAGCCGCCCCTACTCCGCCCCCCCTCGCCCGGAGGTAAGTTGTGAGTCAGGGACAGGCAAGCATCCTTCCATGATGGGCGCTCACATGTTCGGCGCCCCTCCCCCCGGGTACCCCTTCCAAGGCCCTCCTATGTTCCAGCCGCCCCTGCTCCGGCCCCCTTCGCCTGGCGGTAAGTCGTGAGCCAGGGACGGGCGCACACCCGTCCATGATGGGCGCTCACATGTTCGGCGCCCCTCCCCCTGGTTACTCCTTCCAAGGTCCTCCTATGTTCCAGCCGCCCCTACTCCGCCCTCCCTCTCCTGGCGGTAAGTGTTGAGTCGGCTCAAAGGTCCATTGCATGATGGGCGCTCACATGTTCCCGCCGCCCCTGCTCCGCCCCCACACTCCTGCCGGTAAGTTCCAAGCCAGGAACTGGCGGAAAAAACTTTCGCCCTCCTTCTCCCGCACTCTCCCCTTCCCCCTCTTGGGTGCCTCTACCTACCAAGGACCTATGTTCCAGTAATCGGCACCCAAGCTCACATGCCACCAGTCTTCCCCCTCCCCCACTCTCACAGATGCTGGGTTCTAACCATCCTTCCCGTCACCTCCCCCAACTCCCTTCTACGCCCCCTCCTTCCCCCCCCCCCCCCCTCTCCCCTTCCCTCTTCTTTCCCTGTTCCCCCCTCTCCTTCCCCTTTTCCGCCACTCCCCTCTCTCTCGCACCCCCGCCCTCCCCACTTCCCCCCTTCCCCCTCCCCCAGACCCAGCCCAGCCTGGCGATTCCTCCCAGCCAGGCGCAGCATCCGCGCACATCCGCCCAGGTCACATGCCCCCAGTGATCGGCGCCCCTCCCCACATGCCCCACATGCCCATGCACGCCTACCCCCGCCCCTCCCCCATGTCCTCCGCCTCCCCCCCCATAAACCCGCTCCCCATGGGCCGTGGGGGGTACAATCTCCTCCCCCGCGGGGGGCAGCAGCCTATGGGCGGGCGCGGGGGAGGCGGGCGCGGGGGGGACGGTGGGGGAGGAGGGGGAAGGGGAGGCGGGCGCGGATGGGGGGGGAACAGGCGGGGGCAAGGCCCTGGGGGTGGGGGCCAGGGAGGCGGAGGGGGAAGCGGGGGAGGGGGGAGCGGAAGTGGGGCGGGCGCAAGTGCAGCTGCAGGCGGAGGAGGAGCAGGAGCGGGGGCAGGGGCAGGGGGAGCAGCGGGGGGAGGCGGGGGGAACACTGGGGGGGCGGGTTCCCCTGCTAACAGAGGAGCTGGTCTTCTAGGCAGCATGGGGGGACAGGGGCAGCACCAGCAGCAGATAGGTCAACAGGGGCAGCAGGGGCAGCAGGGGCAAGCAAACGGGGTCTATGACGGGTCTAGCGAGCAGAACAGAGGGCCTAGAACGGGCAGAAGTAGGGGCCAAGGCGTATCCACTCCCTCCGCCCCTGGCGCCCCCAGTGCGCCTATGCCTATAGGGGCAGCGGCTGGTGCCATAGGGGAGCCTATAGGCGCTGCTGCTGCTGCAGCTGTAGCAGCAGGGGTGGGGGCAGGGGCAGCCGGGGGAGTAGGGGGAGTGGTGGGGGCAGGGGGGGCAGGAGCAGGAGCAGGAGCAGCGGTAGCAGGGGGGGCACGGGGCGGAATAACCTTGCGTCCGGACGAGTATAACCGGGCAGACTTCAAAACGTCGTACGAGGCGGCGAGGTTCTTTGTGATAAAGAGCTACAGCGAGGACGATGTGCACAAGAGCATCAAGTACGGCGTGTGGGCGTCCACCCCCACGGGCAACAAGCGCCTCGATGCCGCCTTCAAGGACGCCGCAGGGAAGAGCAGCGCCACCCCCTGCCCCCTCTTCCTCTTTTTCTCTGTAAGTGTGCTGTGCTTGCTTTACCCACCCACAACCCAGAAACCCCCGACCCAGAAACCCCCAACCTGGAAACTCCCAACCCAGAAACCCCCAACCCAGAGACCCCGAACCAGATGCCCCGAACCAGACACCTCAAACCCAGAAACCCCAAACCAGAAACCTTAGACCGGCCTCCTCTGAGGGTGGGGTTCTTTGTGATGAGGAGATACAGCGAGGACGATGTGCACAAGAGCATTAAGTACGGCGTGTGGGCGTCCACCCCCACGGGCAACAAGCGCCTCGATGCCGCCTTCAAGAACGCCGCAGGGAAGAGCAGCGCCACCCCCTGCCCCCTCTTCCTCTTCTTCTCCGTAAGTTTGCTGTGCTTGCTTCACCCACCCCCATCGCAGACACTCCCGATTCAGAAACCCCCTACCCGGAAACCCCCAACCCTGAACCCCCCCACCAAGAGTCCCCGAACCAGACACCCCGAACCAGAAACCCTAAGCCAGCCCCCCCTGGGGGTGCGGTTCTTTGTGATGAGGAGCTACAGCGAGGACGATGTGCACAAGAGCATCAAGTACGGCGTGTGGGCGTCCACCCCCACGGGCAACAAGCGCCTCGATGCCGCCTTCAAGGACGCCGCAGGGAAGAGCAGCGCCACCCCCTGCCCCCTCTTCCTCTTCTTCTCTGTGAGTGCTTTGCTTTCTTTACCCCAAACCAGAGACCCCCCAACCCAGAAACCCCTTATACAGAAATCCCCAAACCCAGGAACCCCCGAATCAGACACCCCGGACCAAAAACCCTAACCCAGAAACCCTGAACCGGCCCCTCGTGGGGCTGCGGTTCTTTGTGATAAAGAGCTACATTGAGGGCGATGTGCACAAGAACGCGAGTGGGCAGTTCTGTGGGGTGGCGGAAATGCCAACCCCAGTGGACTTCACTCACACGCTCCTCCCCCCCTCTCCCCCCTCTCTCCCCTCTCTTTCCCTGTGTCCCTGCCCTCACCGTTCCCTTCCACATGGCAGGTGAACGCGAGTGGGCAGTTTTGTGGGGTGGCGGAGATGCCGACCCCAGTGGACTTCACTGACACGCTCCTCCCCCCCTCTCCCCCCTCTCCCCCCTCTCCCCCCTCTCCCCCCTCTCCCCCCTCTCTTTCCCTGTGTCCCTGCTCTCACCGTTCCCTTCCACATGCCAGGTGAACGCGAGTGGGCAGTTCTGTGGGGTGGCGGAGATTCTAACCGCAGTACGATTCACACTCCTCTCCCCCTTTCACCCCCCTCTCTTCCCCTGTGTCCCTGCTCTCACCGTTCTCTTCCTCATGGCAGGTGAACGCGAGTGGGCATTCTGTGGGGTGGCGGAGATGCCGACCCCAAAGGACTTCTCTCACACGCTCCCTCTTCCCTCCCTTTCCTGCTCCCGCCTTTCCCTCTTTCTCCCCTGTCTCCACCCCCTCCCCGTCCAGGTGAACGCGAGTGGGCAGTTCTGTGGGGTGGCGGAGATGCTGACCCCAGTGGACTTCACTCGCACTGCTTTCCTCCTGCCTCCTTCCCTCCACCCTCTACCTCTCCTCTTTCTTCCCTTTGTCTCCCACTTCCACATGCTCAGGTGAACGCGAGTGGGCAGTTCTGTGGGGTGGCGGAGATGCTGACCCCAGTGGACTTCACTCGTAGTGTGGACTATTGGCAGCAGGACAAGTGGAACGGACACTTCCAGGTCAAGTGGCACCCACTATCAACTTCCCTCTGTGCCTTTCCCTGTGCTCCCTCCCCTGTGCTCCCTCCCCTGTGTCCCTACCATTCCCTCCCCCTCCAGGTGAACGCGAGTGGGCAGTTCTGTGGGGTAGCGGAAATGCTGACCCCAGTGGACTTCACTCGCAGTGTGGACTACTGGCAGCAGGACAAGTGGAACGGGCACTTTCAGGTCAAGTGGCATGTGATTAAGGACGTGCCCAACTCGCAGTTCCGGCATATCATCATCGCGTCTAACGATGGGAAACCGGTTACCAACAGCCGAGATACCCAGGAGGTACAGCGGGTGGATGATGGGTGTTGAATTGGGTGGAAGGGGGTGACAGAGGGTTGGTGATGGTCAAGTGGCACGTGATCAAGGACGTGCCCAACTCGCAGTTACAGCATATCATCATCGCTTCTAACGATGGCAAGCCCGTTACCAACAGCCGCGACAAGCAGGAGGTACGGCAGGAGGGGCAGCGGTGTGTGTACTGTGTTGGCGAGAGGGGATAGGCGGTTGGGGAAGGCATCGGGGAGGGGCAGATGTGTGTGTGCGTGTGTGTTCCTCCGATTCCTCTCTCCGTCTGCCCGTCTTACCCGACCTCCCTCTCCTTATTTCTCCCCTCTCCTCTTTCCAGGTGCCGCTACAGCAGGGGCAGGAGATGCTGCGGCTGTTCAAGGGCTACTCGTCGCGCACGTCCATTCTGGACGACTTCAATTTCTACGACTCACGCCAGCGCGCCATGCAGGAGAGGAAGACCCGCCACCCTTCCCACCCTTTCCCGCACCAGCAGCACTCGCAGCACCTGCAACACCAGCAGCAGCAGCATCAGCAGCAACAGCAGCAGCATCAGCAGCAGCAGATGCAGCACCAGCATCCCAATCAGCAGCAGCAGATGCAGCACCAGCATATGCAGCAGCAGCAGCAGCAGCATCAGCAGCACCAGCAGCAGCTGCAGCAGCAGAGGCGAATTGTAGTGGGGCGGAACCCGGGACCAGTGCTTCTGCCCCAGGTATGTTCCCTCTGGTGATTTTCGAGTCCTAACAAAATCACGAGAGGTGGTGAGGCGGAATCCGGGACCAGTGCTGCTGCCCCAGGTATGTTCCCTCTGGTGATTTTCGAGTCCTAACAAAATCACAAGAGGTGGTGAGGCGGAATCCGGGACCAGTGCTGCTGCCCCAGGTATGTTCCCTCTGGTGATTTTCTAGTCCTAACAAAATCACAAGAGGTGGTGAGGCGGAACCCGGGACCAGTGCTGCTGCCCCATGTATATTTCTCCTGCCCGTCGTTTCTTCTTTATCCCATCACCCGAATTCCCTTCTCCACCCCACTCCCCCTCCCCTTTCCCATTCCCATTCCGCTTCCCCAACCTTCCGTCCCCCCTTCTTCTCCCCCTCCCCACCACCCCTTCCCGCCTCTCATGACTCTCAGTCCCATCAACCCGAAACCCTATACTGATGTAGCTTCTTACTCACTTCCCCTCACCTTTCCTTCGTCAATTCCCCTTCCCCTTTTCCTCTCTTCCCCTGTTTACTTGTTCCCTTGTTCCGATGCTCGCCTTTTCCCCTGCCCCACTCTCCCCCCTACTCCCCGCTTCTCCCAGCCTCCGCTTGATGCTCGCCCGCTGGACTTCCCCTTCCCGCCTCTCATGCCTCTCGGCCCCATCAACCCTGCCTTTGGCCCTGCCGGCCTGCCTCTTCCGGCCAACGCTGCTCCTGCCCCCAGGCTATTCTGATGCACATACCCGCTCACGCTTTTCCTCCTTTCCTCCCTCTATTCCCTTCCCCTGTTCCCCTGTTCCCCTTTTCCCGTGCTCCCCTGCCCCGCTGTCCCCCCTACTCCCGGTTTCCTCCAGCCACGGCTTGACGCCCGCCCGCTGGACTTCCCCTTCCCGCCTCTCATGCCTCTCGGCCCCATCAACCCTGCTTTCGGCCCTGCCGGCCTGCCTCTTCCGGCCAACGCTGCTCCTGCCCCCAGGCTATTCTGATGCACATACCCGCTCACGCTTTTCCTCCTTTCCTCCCTCTATTCCCTTCCCCTGTTCCCCTGTTCCCCTGTTCCCCTTTTCCCGTGCTCCCCTGCCCCGCTGTCCCCCCTACTCCCGGTTTCCTCCAGCCACGGCTTGACGCCCGCCCGCTGGACTACCCCTTCCCGCCTCTCATGCCTCTCGGCCCCATCAACCCTGCTTTCGGCCCTGCCGGCCTGCCTCTTCCGGCCAACGCTGCTCCTGCCCCCAGGCTATTCTGATGCACATACCCGCTCCCTCTTTTCCTCCTTTCCTCCCTCTATTCCCTTCCCCTGTTCCCCTGTTCCCCTGTTCCCCCTTTTCCCGTGCTCCCCTGCCCCGCTGTTCCCCCTACTCCCGGTTTCCTCCAGCCACGGCTTGACGCCCGCCCGCTGGACTACCCCTTCCCGCCGCTCATGCCTCTCGGCCCCATCAACCCTGCTTTCGGTCCTGCCGGCCTGCCACTTCCCGCCAACGCTGCTCCCGGTGCTGCTGTTGCTGCTGCCGCTGGGTTTGGGGGACAAGGGAGATTGATGTATTCTCACACGGGCCCTGTAGGTGCTGCTCCTGGTGCAGGGCGAGGGAGAGGGGGGCGAGGAGGAGGTGGAGGAGGAGGGGGAGGGGGAGGTGGGGGAGGAGGAGGGGGAGCAGGGTCGGCGCTAGGGGTGGTGGGGGGAGGAGGAGGAGGAGCAGCGTCTAGTAGTGCGAGTGCCCTTGCCAGTATGCTGCCTGCTTCTGTCATGCCTAGCCCTACGCCTGCAGCCGCAGCTGCTGCTGCTGCCTCTGCTGCTGCTACTGGGATAGGTGAAGGGGAGAAAGCGGGAGCTGCTGCTTCTGGTGCTGGTGCTAGTGCTAGTGCTAGTGCTGGTGCTGGTACTGGTACTGGGAGTGGTGGGGCAGCTGGAGGGGGGAAGCAGGGAGGTGAAGGGGGGAAAGCAGGAGGGAAGGGAGGGGAGACGGCCGCAGCGATCGCAGAGGGTGTGGCAGTGATGTCCCTTGGGGAGGGGAAGTGAGGGGATCGGAAGGAAGTTGTGAGGGGAGATGTCACTGGCAGGGAGGTGAAGGAGAGAAAGGAGGGAAGGGAGGGGAGACTGCAGCAGCAATCGCAGAGGGTGTGGCAGTGCTGTCTCTTGGGGAGGGGAAGTGAGGGTATAGGAGGGAAGTTGTGAGGGGAGATGTCACTGGCAAGGAGTGCTGTCACTCAAGGTGGACAGGTGTTATCCAAGGTGCAGAGAGGTGTTACGCAAGGTGCAGAGAGGTGTTTCGCAAGGTGCAGAGAGGTGTTATGCAAGGTGCAATCAGTTGTCACGCAGGGGGCAGTCAGGTGTCAGTCAAGGGGCGGAGGGGTGTCACTCAAGGGGTAATGAGGTGTTCCTTGAGTCGCCATCAAGTGGTGGAAAATGGGAAACGGGGCTTGAGCTGTTCAGTTTCAGGCACGGGAGGTTAGAGCACTGAAAATTGTCGGGAAGTTAAAAAAAAAAAAAGCAGCTGCAAGAACAGTGACGACAAAAGTGCTATTCGGCCGTCAACAAGGGACTCAACTCAAGGTAGTAGCAGGACTGGAGACAGTTGACTCGGTAGCAGCAGCTCTGGTAGCAGTAGAAACTTGTGGGAGCAACGGGGATGCAATGTATGGTTATTTTAGTTTCATGGCACACGACTGAGCAATCAATTATTGTGGACAGCGCCTGATATGTCACTGGCCTTAGAAATAGAGTATGTGCTAAACAAGTATTAGCTGCTGAATTATTCTTTGCCTCTAAAACAATTAACGCTGAATATTTTCTCGCGTACCACCGTGCACCGTGCTCCCAGGAACACAGTGTCGCATTCAACGAAAATGAGGATGGCTCTTGGGAGGTACGAGGCTTGATCCTATGAAAGTGAGGCGACTCCTCGAAATCAGAATTGGTGCTCCAAAAACCCCTTGAGAGACAGCAAAGCTCTGCATGCGCACTTTCACAGCTCAGCACTCAATAGCTCTCATGAGTTTAGTAGTCACTGATCAGAACCACGTATTCAAATCAGCGAGCACTGCTCAGCGCGTCTAGTCAGAGAGCGATAAGAACCGGCGGCAGGTGATCTGGAACTCAACCATGTATCCAAGTCCGCGTCCACTCTTCATTGTGAATCTGCTTCGCAAGAAACAGGTCACGAAATTTCGTATGAGAGGCTGTCGTTTCATTTGCAAGGAGTCGGAATGCAAGGATTCTGGCTCGTGATTGCCCACCTCTTACCAGCTCGCCACCCCGAACTACTTCCATCAGCGAGATAGCAGACCATTATTGACCACCTCGCAAACTCCTTGCTTTTTCATTGTGCTCTTCATTCTCGAGGTTCTCATTCGTTCATCATCTGCATGACATTCCCAGTAATGAAAGTAGTCACTCTACCGCTCATATCTTCAACGGTTATGGGAAACAGCGGGCGGTTGGATGCAGAATCCGCCGCCGCCTCGCTTTCCGACTTACCCTCCAACACCACTGGCTGGGACACTTCGATTCTACTTCCAGGCTGGAGAAGATATTCCTGGTTTCCTTGCTTGCGTGGCATTGCGGGCAAAATTGAAGGCCTAGAATGGCTGATGGCGTCAGTGGTGATGGCCTTTGCTCCACGCGAGCTTCTTGTTCTGTTTTTTTCTCTCCGAAATATGTTCAGTCACGAGGTGCGAGCTTCATTTTCATGTTTCCAGCGAATTTATAAAGATCTTGTTTCCATGTCAGCTACTTTCTTAGGCACCTGCGACGTAGAGTCATAAGCCTGCTCTTTACTATCTCTGCGTGCCTAGAACGTCTCAACCACGAGTAGTCTGTTCTTGCGGAAATAGCTCAAGGATTGATTCTTGATAGTCTCCATCAATAACATAGCTGTTGACCTTCTACCATGCATCCTGAAGTCTTCATGTCTCTCGAGATCCAAGAGAGTCAGTACCATCAGCCTATTGCTGTTAAAATGTTCAACTCCATCATTATAATCGCCGATTTTCACCTGATGTGTCGTCTTTTACTTTCAGGAGATGGCCTTGCGCGAAGCCCGCGTTGGCGGGTTACAAGGCGAAGCTTTCAGCCGCGGATCTGGGTGAAGCTGACGTTTTTCGTTGGTACTCTGGTGCTGATCTGCTCGGGTGTTTTGGCCGTCGTTTTGTGGAGGCTGTCGAAAACAACCTTGACTGGAGAAATTCGGGAGAGGCTTGACACTGTTGCCAGCCTTCGTCAAGAGCAGGTACCATAACCCTATGTCTGCTTAATTTTGATCTTTTATCAGCTGTCATGCTGATCAATCTGCTTATGATTTACCATTGTTCTGATTGTTGTGTTTCTTCGTGTATCTTCTTGCTGTTCCAGATACTCACCTACATCATTGGAACTCAAGATACGGTGAAGCTGATCGCATCTCGCATTGCCGTTTCATCCCTGCTGCTCATGCACAAGCAAGGGAAGTCCAATCTGACGGAAAATGACTACAAGATGGGCACAGAGGATCTGGATTCTGCTGTCATGAGTGCAGCAAGTGTCATGGCGTTAGGAGCCTACAGCAGCGATGGTGAACTTTTGTTTTCCAGCAAGCATCCAGCTGATGTGGAGCCGCTCCCCAAGCGCTTGCACGGGCGAGCACTGATTGTACAGAATCGGAACACGTCAGTGTGGTCCGGGATTCCATATGCAGGACGCAACAATACATTCTTGATCGACATTACAGCTTCTGTTGACTATCAGGTATGGAATCTCATTTAGCTGGTCTGGTAGGTCCATTAATTCACCTGTTCCAAAAAGTGAAATGCTGTTATCTTTCTGTTCTGACGTTCTTTGTCTTTCAGGACACCTTTTGTGGAATTATTTTGGCAAAAGTTGATGCTGAGAAGTTCAAGCAAACTGTGCAAGATGGAACTGGACTTCAGTCCACTGGAGAGCTTCTTGTCGGATATACCAATGAAGGCGAGGACATGGTGAAGTTCATAGTTCCTCCAGCTAAGGATCCTTTTGTGAAAAACTCGACTCATAAGGGTGCTGCCTTCAGAGCAGGGAGAGGTCAGAGTGGGTATTACCAAGGGGCTGACTTTCGTGGTGTTGACATCGTTGCTTCCTACCGGCCCATTGGCTATGACTCGTGGGGTATGTCTTGAAATCCTTGCCTATTCTGGGTTTCTGTGCTCATTCTTTTACATGGTTCCCAAACTTACAAGCTACTTGCGTCATTGCAGGTCTGGCAGCTCAAATTGACAAAGTAGAAGTATACATCTCTATAAGGAAGGTTGAGAAGATCATTATCATTTCAATGTCCTGCATCTTTGTTCTAGGGATTCTCGCCGCCTATGCTTTAGCCACGGTACGACGTCTTTGTTCTTCTTCATCGTCCTCTCTTGAAATTCATATGTTCGCTGCAAGGCGGTGTTCTTACTTATAATGTGAGACATTGCTGTGCAGTATTTCTCCCGTCCGATCATGGAGCTTGGAGATGCAGCGAGCAAACTTGCACGGGGTGATTACAGTGCAAGGGCTCATGGGCGGCGAGGCTGTTTGAAGGACGAGATTGATGAGCTTTGCTGTGTGTTCAATGACATGGCTGATCAGATCTCTAGCTCTTACTCTACTTTAGAACAAAAGGTGAGTCATTCTACATCTGTTCATTTTTTTCCCACGGTTTTTTGTGTGTGTGTGTGTGAATTTTTTTTTCCGAGAAATTGTTTTCCATTGGCAAGGAAGAAGCTCAAGATCTGAATTTCAGGTGGTGGAACGCACGCAAGACCTGGCACTGCTGAATCAGGGTCTGTCTGCTGAGGTGGAGGAGAGGAAGAGTGTTGAGTTACAGCTTCAGGATGCCAAGGAGCAGGCAGTTTCAGCAGACAAGGCGAAATCTGAGTTTCTGGCAAACATGTCTCATGAGATCAGAACACCGTTGAATGGCATCATCAATTGCACTGAGCTTTGCTTGGACACTGCTCTGAGCTCTGAACAGATCGAGTATCTTGAGCTCGTAAGCTTTCTGTGCATTTTGGTTCAGATAACAATCTTTCTCGTAAGTTCAATTCTGCTGCTTGAGTCGTGGCTGACTGGATCTATTGATTGTGCTTGTTATGTGCAGTCCCTTTACTCAGCCAAGCATCTTCTGCGCTTGATTGCTGATATTCTGGACTTCAGCAAAATTGAAGCGGGAAAAATGGATCTGGAAAACATTGAGTTCTCACTACAGGACCAGGTAATTATCTGCTGCTTTTGTATCCACCTGTTATTCTCACTGATGTCGTACTCAATAATGGCTCATTCGATTGATTTTCCCTCCAGATGGAGCATGCGGTATCTGTTCTGGCGAATCGGGCAAGGAAGAAGGGCCTTGCACTCGTATCATGGCAGAGGTCTCCGAACATGCCAGAAAATTTCATGGGTGACCCTGGACGCCTTCTTCAGATCTTCATCAACCTTTTGGGTAGGTTTCAGTACAGAGCCCGCCTACGTTTTATGTATGCTATTTTCAATCATACAGGTTCTGAAATTTATGGCAAAAATGCTCATGTTCCAGGTAATGGGATCAAGTTTACTGAGAAGGGGGAGGTTTTGCTAACTGCAACACTTGTTGCTCTCAAGGATCAGACCGCAGAGGTTCTTTTTGCTGTTAAAGACACAGGTTAGTAAAAAAAAACGCTTACGTTTTATGCCAATATGTGTTGAATGTCACGTTGCATCATAACTTTCGTTCTCGTTTCTACCAGGAATCGGCATACCTCAAGCCAAGCAGTGTCTTTTGTTTCAAGCGTTCAGTCAAGTGCACGCATCAGATTCACGGTAAGACGTGACTTCCATTATTCCTTTCATATTTTTTTTCAGTAAAGAGATCAGTCGTTAATGTTCGCGGTGCGTGTTTCAGGCTGTATGGAGGGACGGGACTGGGATTGATGATCTCATCTCGCCTGGCTAATGCCATGGGTGGCCACATGTGGGTTGAGAGCGAAGAGGGTTGCGGGTCAACCTTTTGTTTCACGGCCAAGTTCACAGTACTACCTGAGCCTGCAAAACCATCATCTCTGGCTCGGTGTGGCACTCTGTGTCCAAAAATGAACCACTTCCGCGGGCTTGTTGTGGATGGGAATGAATCAACCAGGAAGTCCATCCTTTCGACTCTTGAGGTGGGATTCATTGTCTGTTGAGTTATCTTTTGTTTTGATTCTGCGGGCACGAGGGAAGTGATACTGATATTTGGTGATTGATATTCCTCGTCTTGCAGAAGCTGAAAGTAAAGGCAGAGGATGCAGCCGATGCAACCTCCGCTTTGGAAATGCTCCAGAAGGCAGCATACGACGAGTCGCCATACACCCTGCTCATTCTCGACTCTGAAGTCAGTGACACCCTCCATGTTCCCTCCTCATCCTCCCCCTCCTGCTCCTCTTCCTACGATAATTGTGCTGTCTCCTCCGCCAACTGCGCCAAGCTGCTGCGCTGCATCAAGGAGCAGAATCTGCTCCATCAGGACAACATCGGATGCCGAATTTCAGAAGGAAACTGCAGTAGTAGCAGTGCCGTGCAAGAAATGGAGGATCTTACTGGGAACCCCGAGTCACCTGTGCCTGCTTGGCTATCCTCTAGAAAGCAGGAAAATGCAGCAGCGATAGAAGAAGAGCCTCATTCCAGTGTGCTTTCTGAAGAAACAGGGGGGCATGCCCCAGCAGAAAGACCGGGTGAGAGTTCTGGTCAGCACCTGCAGTCAGTTCAAAGGGCTGACTCGCAGTCAGCAACAGCTGACAGTGGAGGATTGATGCGGCAGCCGAGGTGCGGCCAGGCACAGGCTTACTGCTCTGCATCTGAGGTGACCTTCGAGTCAACTCAAAAGTCGCCTAGAGCTGACAGTGGAGGAGTGATGCGGCTGCAGAGATGTGGCCAGGAACAGGCTTCCTTCTCTGCAACAGAGGGGTGTCGACCCGAGCCTCGCGAAGAGGAGTTGGCGCTGTCTGTGGTGTTGCTGACACCAGGAGGTCCTGACGACAAGCCCTTGTAAGTGCTGACATTCGGACAACTCATATGTGTGGCAGTCACTCAACTCCGCAAGCCACTTTTCTGAGTATGGCTGTTTCTTGCTTTCTTGGAATGCTGCTCAACAGGTGTAAGGAACTCGGGGTGCAACTCTATCTTCCCAAGCCTGTGAAGAGGAAAGTGCTTCTGCGAAGAGTCAAGCAGGCCTTGAAGCTCCCGCTGCAGGTGATCTCCCTTGCTCCAACTCTTCCCTCAAGCATTCTACAATTGTACCTACTCTGCATGCTGCTGATTGGACCAGCCATTGAACGTCTGCACATACCCTCTCTTTCATTCTTCGCCCCATGCTGATCTTTCCTTTCTTTGTTTTGTCAGGACGGGCTCTCTGCCTCGAATTCAAGTGCATCAGAGGAGGCATCGGCATCAGCAGCGGCTGACAGGAGTCTCAAGGTCCTGGTTGCAGAAGACAACATTGTCAACCAGCGGGTAGCCATGACCCTGCTGCGCAAGTGGGGGCACGAGGCGGTTCTGGCCAGTGATGGTGAAGAAGCCCTGGAGAAGGTTCAGACAGGAGTGTTTGATGTGATACTAATGGATGTGAGTGTGGCAGCAGCATTTCTGCTCCTTCACCGTGTGTGTGGTTCGTGTACCAGCTACATACTGCCCCTTTTCTCCGTGAATGCAACGGCCATACAAATTTCTGTTTCACCTCCCTGCCTGTCCTACGCTCCACTCACCTTCCCCTTCTTCCATGTGCAATATCAGGTTCAAATGCCAGTCTGCGATGGCCTAAAAGCAACCAAGAGGATTCGTGAATATGAGTCTACGACAAATCGCCACACGCCCATCATTGCTGTAATGCTCATACAATTCTGTTTCGGCGAAAGGACAGCATTTTTCAATTCATCTGACAGCTGCTCCTTTTCCTGCAGATGACAGCGCAAGCCCTTATAGGAGATGGAGTGAAGTGCATAGAGGCAGGGATGGACTCGTACATGAGCAAACCTGTAAGCTTTTCCGTGCTCTGCTGCTACATCTTGGACTGTTATGCTTGAGGGGGTTTAAAGCCATTGGGCCAAGACTCGGCGTTTTTTGTGTGCAGTTGAATGCGTCCAAGTTGAAGGATCTCTTGCGGCTTGTGTGTCAATCACATGTGCTTCCAAAGCCAACCAATGATTGTGCCCGAGATTTTTTATTTCGAGGAACTTTGCATTAGGCATACGTATGTACATACATGAGTGGTGCTGATAGCATCACTCATGCCAGCTACCTTCTGGGCATTGAAAAATGGCCTTGTAGTATGATAAGTATTTTGTGCTATCATCCAACCTTCTCTTGCATCTTTAGTGTATTCAGTCAGTTCGTTTTGTTTTACACAGCTGACTTCCTTCTGACTGTTTGTACAATTCTTGAATCCCGATCCTTCAAGCCTTGACTTTCACTTCACGCCTGTGGGATGGGTGGGGTGGGTGGAGGTCCTGGAGGAGGAGGTGGGGGGAGCTTGGGAGGAGGGGAGAAGAGAGTTGCGTGGAACCGATCGAGTGATGTGATAATCGTTCCGTACATGGTATGTGCAGTTCACCTTGCACAAAGAGGGATTCGCAGGGCATAGTACGGTACAGAACGGTGTAAATCTCTGTTCTGTACAAGGTGACCCCCAAACAGAGGGCGAAATGGATTATGGAAATCAACTGAACACCTCCTTTCAAAACGAGGCTTTGTCGAGGAGCTGAGTGGCTAGGTTCGATTCCGTCTTACCGAGCCTAGCGCACGTTTGGAGAGCATCCGCCCGGCTTGTGGTGCCCTCCGCCCTGTCCAATCTGTTTGCGCCAAACTCTCTCAGTTCCCGTCGGCCCGTCAGCATTCCTTCTTTTGAACAGACTGGACTGTTGGGCGAAATGTTCGATTCATTTCGTTCTAGAAAGATTCTTCCAGGTTGAGAACGTTTGAGTACACACCTTCGAAGAACGTAACAGAAAACGGCTGAAGCTGGGAGCGGCTCGTTTACGTTTTGAAACGGTTCGATAGGGTTTCGAGCAGAAATGAACTCCCACAACACACCCTCGCTATTGATTCAAACTGTGCGGGGGAGCAAATTAGTATCCGTATCTCAGTTATGTCCCCTCGTTCGTGAATCGTGAGCCGTTGCCGTCCTTATGGTGTCGACGACACGTAAGCCTGTTGCCCAAACAAAGTCTCCTCGAGTAGGGTTCGTGACGCAATAAGTTCTCTAACGTTAGCATGCTCGCGAAAGCAAAATGAAAGACACTGACCATGGTTTCATTTGACTCAGTTTGTTAGTCGCAGCACTTACCATTGTTTGTTCGTCTCTTTTTCTCTTGGGTATGTCAGCGCTCTTTGCTACTCTCGTCACTCATACTACCCGCGTTTTCCGCATAAGTGGCGAGACGTACTTTTCAGGCGCCTCACAGCGGGACTGGCTGATAACTTATTAACACTACCCTTGTGACGCATTAACATTATCCTCGTGACGCGTGCGTCCTTTCTCATTGTAACGGAGAAAAAGGTTAAGCATTACATATTTCGACGTAGATAGATAGGTAGACATACACGGTCAGGTTTCCAGACGTAGATAATAGACAGATATATTCCGTCGGGTTTGGGAGGTCAAATTTTACGGGTAGCACCAAACTCTACAATGGCTGCTATCATGAACAGTCGCAAAGTTTCTTAATTACCACCGATAGAGGTCGACAGCACGACGATTTTTTTTAAGGTTACCGACAGCACGAGGAGTATTTTCAACGGTTACTGGCATCAGGACGCCATTAGAGACCGGTGAAAGCTCGTGTGCGTGAATGGAAGCAGAGGAGACGGAATGGGTGGCTGGCGGCGGAGTAGGATTAGCAATCGGCGAAGAGGGGTTCGCACGGGATCAGGTGCTGGTTGGAGGTTCGTCCGGCCATGTCGGCTCGGTAAGACCCGAGCCTGCTGGTTCGGGGAAACCGGCCGGACCAGTAAGACGTAGGCCCAAAATGGCCGTGCCTCGGTTGGTGCACTCAAGTTCGGTAAGCGCGCCGAGTCCTAAAACTCCCGTGGTACCAACCCCCGGCAGAAATCGTTTTTCGCGGGCAGCTGGGGCAGGTGAAGAGGCAAAAACAGAAAAGAAGCAGACCCCAGTGTTTCCTCGGAGTACAAGCGTCAGCCTGCCCGTGAGAAATGTTTTGGTGATTACGGGTGGGGAAAAGGAGAGGGCAGGGAGCAAAGAGGAGGGGGGTAAGCAGCCCGGGGAGGGGCAGCGGGGAGAGGGGGAGGGGGAAGGGGGGAAGGAGGAGGGGGAAGGGGAGGGATGGAAGGAGAGGCGACAGGCGCAGGCGGAAGCTGTGACACGTGCCATGCAGCGATTGGACGTGGGGAAGGACGGCAGGGCGGCTGAAGTCGCGGCAACTCCAAGGGTAAGTCACGTGAATGCGACGACGCCCCATGGCTTGAAAACGCTAATCACGAGGAGTAGGGCTGAAAAGGCTGAAGGCGCGGCGATTTCGGCAGTCGAGCTGTACTCTCCGCTCACCCACTCCTCCCCTCCCCCCTCCCCTCCCGCCCTCTCCCCTTCCCTCCTCCCCCCCCACTCTCCCCCTGCAGAAGCGCCAGCAGCGCATGCTACAGCAGTACCCCCTCTCCCCTCCCTCTCCCCTCCCTCCCCCCCTCTTCCCTTCCCAGCCATCCATCGTCTCTCCTCTCCCGCTCTCTATTTCCATCTACAGGAAGAGCGTTCGCTCCGCCTATCCCGCCAGCAGAAGCGCCAACGTATGCTGCAGCGAGCAATACCTTCCATCTTCACCCCCCTTCCTCCCCTCCCCTTCTCCCACCTACACGAAGAGCGTTCGCTCCGCTTGTCCCGCCAGCAGAAGTGCCAGTGCATGCTGCAGCGAGCAATGCCTTCCCCTCCCTTCGCCCCTCTTCATCCCCTTCTTCCACCCTACAGGAAGAGCGTTCGCTCCGCTTGTCCCGCCAGCAGAAGTGCCAGTGCATGCTGCAGCGAGCAATGCCTTCCCCTCCCTTCGCCCCTCTTCATCCCCTTCTTCCACCCTACAGGAAGAGCGTTCGCTCCGCTTGTCCCGCCAGCAGAAGTGCCAGTGCATGCTGCAGCGAGCAATGCCTTCCCCTCCCTTCGCCCCTCTTCATCCCCTTCTTCCACCCTACAGGAAGAGCGTTCGCTCCGCTTGTCCCGCCAGCAGAAGTGCCAGTGCATGCTGCAGCGAGCAATGCCTTCCCCTCCCTTCGCCCCTCTTCATCCCCTTCTTCCACCCTACAGGAAGAGCGTTCGCTCCGCTTGTCCCGCCAGCAGAAGTGCCAGTGCATGCTGCAGCGAGCAATGCCTTCCCCTCCCTTCGCCCCTCTTCATCCCCTTCTTCCACCCTACAGGAAGAGCGTTCGCTCCGCTTGTCCCGCCAGCAGAAGTGCCATTGCATGCTGCAGCGAGCAATGCCTTCCCCTCCCTTCGCCCCTCTTCATCCCCTTCTTCCACCCTACAGGAAGAGCGTTCGCTCCGCTTGTCCCGCCAGCAGAAGCGCCAGCAGCGCATGCTTCAGCGGGCAGCCCCCTCACCCCACCCCTCCCCTCCCCCTCTCATGCCCTCCTCTTTCCTTCCCCGCCGGTTTCCATCTCTTCTCCTCCCTGCTCTTTCGTTACCCCTACAGGAAGAGCGTTCGCTCCACCTATCCCGCCAGCAGAAGCGTCAGCGCATGCTCCAGTGGGCATCACCCTCCCTCCCCCCAACCACTCCTCCGCTCTCCCCTTCCCGCACCCGCTCCCCCCCTGCAGGAAGAGCGTTCGCTCCGCCTATCCCGCCAGCAGAAGCGTCAACGAATGCTGCAGCGGGCGGCTGCCGCCCTTCCGCAGCTGGCGCAGCGCGTGTCAGAAACGCCTCGCTTCCGATTGGACGATTTTCTGGCGGCGCTTGACAGCCTGGCAGCGCTTCGGGGGAAGCTGAGAGCGGCTCTGGAGGCGCAGCAGAGAGAGGAGGAGGACGAGGAGGAGGAGAGGAGGGAAGAGGAGAGGAGAGGGGAGGGGAGGATAGTGGAGGAGAGGAGGAGGGAGGACGAAGGGATGAGGGGTGAGTGTGGAATGGTAGAAAGAGTGGGTGGAGGAGCGGAGGGAGGAAGCGGAGAGGGTGGTGGAGCTTTTGGGCTAGAACGTGGGGAGGGCGAGAGTGTTTGCGAGGGGGAGGAGGAGGAGAAAGAAAATGATTGTATGGATGAGGTGGCGAAAGGACGTGAAGCGAATGTAAGAGTAGACTCAGGTGATGGTGGTGAGGAGGGGAAGGAGGGGAAAGAGGAAGAGGAGGGGGGAGAGGAAGAGGAGGGGGCGGAGGGGGGGGAAGGGGAGGAAGGGGAAGGGGCGGAAGATTTGGCAAAGGGAGGGGTACGGAAACGGCTACAAATGGGCAAGGGCGGAGGAGAAGGGGAGGAGAGCGAGGAGGAAACAGACGAGAAAGATACTGCAACAGATGGCACTTCTGTGTTTCCTGCTAATGCTGCTGCAGCAACATCTCCTCCTGCTGCTGCTGTCCCCGTGCTTCAATGGGATGTGCTTATAAGCGTGGAGGCTGTTATCCAGGATGCGCTGATGCTGCTGGAAGAGGAGTTTGAAGCGACTCTCTCCAAACACGGGTGGGTCTTTTGATCTGCCTTCTATCCTGCCCATGAGGGTGACTCTCATGAGACTCCACGTATGCACCGATACCCCACTCCTTCTCTCTGCAGCAAGCCTCTGTACCTCCCAACGCTCAAGTCCGCCCTGCGCGCCCAGAATTGTCACCCTCTGTCTGTCTCGTCCCACTCTTCTCCCACACCGCCAAACCCAACCTTCCCTCCCCGCCCGTTCTCTCTGCAGCAAGCCTCTGTACCTCCCAACGCTCAAGTCCGCCCTGCACGCCCAGAATTTCGCCACTGCTGCTGCAGCTGGTGCCAAGGCTGCTGCTGCTGCTGCTTCTTGTGCAGGAGCAGCAGGGGGAGCGTCCTCTCTTAGAACGCGGAGAGCTACAGGCATCACCCCCATCACCACCCGTTTCACCCTCTGACTTGTCCCATTCTTCTCCCCCACCCCAACCCCAAACTCCCCCCTCTTCCCCCACCCTCCTTCCACCGTGCAGCAAGCCTCTGGATCTACCAACGCTCAAATCCGCACTCCACGCCCAGAATTTCGCCACTGCTGCTGCAGCTGGTGCTGCTGGGTGTGCTGGTGCTGGTGCAGGGGGGGCAGGGGCAGCAGGAGGGGCGTCCTCTCTCCGTGCACATAGAGCCACGGGCATCACCCCCATCACCACCCGGTTCACGCGCACCTCCTCCGACTTCTCCCTCTCTGCTTTCCTTCCCCCCGTTTCCCCCCCCTTCCCCGTGCAGCAAGCCTCTGGATCTAGCAACGCTCAAATCCGCACTGCATGCCCAGAATTTCGCCAGTGCTGCTGCTGGTGCTTCTGGTGCAGGGGCAGCAGGGGCAGCAGGGGCAGCAGGGGGAGCGTCCTCTCTCCGTGCACGTAGAGCCACGGGTGTCACCCCCATCACCACCCGTTTCACCCGCACCTCCTCTGACTTCTCCCTTGCTGCTGGCGCATCCGCTAGAGGGAACATCAGCACTACCCCCACCAACCAGAGTAATTCGACCAAGTACCCTGAACACGCCCTTGTTAGCCCTCTTGCTCACCGCGGCTTAGCTGCTGGCGCTGCTGCTGGTGTTCCTCGTAGCCCTGTTGGCTTGACTACCGGCCCACGGTCCCCCGGAATGCGCACGTCAGGACAGAACTTGCCGCCCTTTTCGCCGTCGTCCCGTCGTCTTTTTGCGGGCCATCATCCTCACCACCATCATCATCATTCTCAGCATCAGCAGGATTGGCAACAGCAGCAGCCGCAGCAGTACCAGCTACAGCAGCAGCCGCAGCAGCAGTACCAGCACCAGCAGCAGCCGCAGCAGTACCAGCACCAGCAGCAGCACCATCAGCAGTATCATCAACAGCAGCACCAGCAGCAGCACGGGCATAGGCCCGATCAGGGCAGGTTATGGAAATCCTCCTCTAGTTTCCTGTTTGACGATCCTATGATGATCGAATTCAATGCGTCGCTGGCTGATGCTGCTGCTGCCGTTGCCGGCACTGCTCCTGCCACTGCTGCTGCTTCTGATGGTGCTGCTGCTGCTTCTGCTGCTGCTGTGGCTGCTGATACTAGCGGTGCTAGTGCTAGTGCTGCTGCTGATGCAAGTAGTTCGCATGGCACTCCAATCATCAGCCCCACAGGCGTTGCATCTAACAGCAGCAACAGCAACTACACTAACAGTAACCCGAGCCTTAAAACCAGGTCCGGTGGTAACCGCATTCTCATTCCCGTGAGCGTAACCGGCAGCAGCACAGGAAGTGAACCTCCCACTGAAAGCCCTACAGCCCAGCAACCACCTATCCTCTCCCCTCCTTGCTCTGACGCCTCCCCTCCCTCGAACCTCATTAAGACTCTTAGCAGCAGTAGCAGCGCCAGCAGTACCGGTTTCTTGTCCCAGGAGCAATCGGGGCATTTGAATTCTGCTGCTGCTGCCGCTGCTGCTGCTGCCGCTGCTGGTGGTGGTGGTGCGTCTGGTGGTCTTTGGCCCATGTATTCCGGACCCCTTCCTTCCACAGCGGCTTCTAACTCACCATACGCATCCCCTTACACCTCCGGTTACATTCCCCATAATGCATATGCTTATAACGCGGTTGGTTCTTCTTCCTTCTCTGCCTCTCCCTCCTCCTCGTCTGCCTCTCCCTATGCGCGCCCCACTCCCCCCCGCATCACCATACCTATCCATCCGGACGAGGACGACGCCGAGCCTGATGCCAACGACCTCCCGAACCTGACTCCTGGTTCGGCAGCCAGGTCCGGGGGCGCCAAGCCAGGGCAGGAGGCTCGGCCGTCTACAGGGCAGGAGGATAAGAGGAGAAGCAGGCAGCCTATCAGGGCTATTAGCAACATCGTTTACGGCAGCAGCAGCAGCAGCAGCACCACCACCACCATTAGCAGCAGCATGAATAACATCAGTACTCCTAGGTCTGCTGCTGAGAGCAATTCTTCCGTAGCTGTAGGACCCCAGTCTCTGCCCTCGTCTCTCCAACCTTCCCCCGCCCTATCTCCATCCCCTACCGCTGCCGGCTCTGCTGCCGCCACCGCTGCTGCTGCTGCTGCTGCTGATGCCCGATCTGCTGCTACTGTTGGTGCTGCAAACGCTGCAGCTGCTGCTGCCGGTGGTGGTGCCGTTACACCACCCGCTGCTTCCAGTCGTCCTAGACTGGTTGCTTTCTCCTCTCCTACACTTGAAGCAGGGAGGGCAGGAGGGAGGGGAGGAGGGGGAGCAGGAGGGGCAGCAGGGGGGGGCGTGTGGGCAGTGGATTGGCGGGTGGCGTTTAGTGAGTGGGGGGAGTGGTTACCAGTGGCGGAGATTGGCTGGTTACGCAAGATGGCCACACGGATTGTTGCTATTGGTGGGCTCACTCGCTGCTGTGCGAGATACTGGTAAGTGTGTGAGTGAGTGAGTGAGTGAGTGAGTGAGTGTGTGACTGTGAGTGAGTGAGGGAAGGGGGGCGGGTAGCAGGGAGGGAAGGAGGGAGGGCAGCAGGGAGGGCAGGAGGGGCAGCAGGAGGAGGGGTGGGGGCAGTGGATTGGCGGGTGGCGTTTAGTGAGTGGGGGGAGTGGTTACCAGTGGCGGAGATTGGCTGGTTACGCAAGATGGCCACACGGATCGTTGCTATTGGTGGGCTCACTCGCTGCTGTGCGAGATACTGGTGAGTGTGTATGTGTGTGCATGTGTGCGTGAGAGTGTGAGTGTGAGTGTGTGCCTCAATGTTGACCCCCTGAACGAGTCTTTTCAATCCCTGCACGCCTGCCTGCCTGCCTGCCTTTCCCCCTGCCTCCCCTTCAACTTCCACAGCGCCGCCCGTGGGCCGAGCATAGCGAGTGGCACGGCTTGTCTCGACCTGAAGGAGCGCAGCGTTGCTGAGCTGGAGGCCATGGCGTGGAGCCAGCTGGAACCCACCATCAAGACATGGCTCAGAGATGCCAACATACTGGTATGTATGTGTTGTTTTGTGGTGGATGGGTGGGTTACTGAGTACAGCCGTGCGTGTGTGTGTGCCCCTGACTTTCTGTCTCACTGTGAGCTGGAGGCCATGGCGTGGAGCCAGCTGGAGCCCAGCATCAAGACGTGGCTCAGAGAAGCCAACATACTGGTACGTTATGAAGCTGCCCATCCCTCAAACTCCCCCTCCCCTTTTTCCCTCCCCTACCTTTTCTCAGATCCGAGTGCTACTGGAGGGAGAGCAGAGCGCCTCCTCTGCGAGGCAGTCCTAGACATAGAGGACGCCCCGAGCTCAACCTCCCCATTCTTTCCCCTTCCTCCCCCTTCTTCTCCCCCGTTCCCCCACACCCTCCGCTCAGATCCGAGTGCTGCTGGAGGGAGGGCGCCTCCTCTGCAAGGCAGTCTTAAAGGATGCCCCAGAGCTCAATCTTCCAATTCTACTCATCGCCCCCCCTTCTCCGCTCCCCTCTCCCCCCACCCCCCCTCTTCTCCGTAACGTCAGATCCGAGTGCTACTGGAGGGAGAGCGTCTCCTCTGCGAGGCAGTCCTAGAGGACGCCCCCGAGCTCGACGCGGGCGGCGTGTATCGGCAGCTTCTGTCGGCGTCGCCCTGCGTGGAGGGCTCGGTCGGCAAGCTGGTCGGCACGGCTCGTTCCATTGCGGGGCTGACGCGGTCCCCCGAGAAAGTCTTTAGCTTCATGGAGATGTTTCGGGCGGCAACTGGGTTGAGGGAGCAGGTGTGTATTTATGTGGGGACCGGGGTGGAATGGTCAGGACTCAGGACAGGGCTGGTGGAGGGAGCTCAACCGTTGCTCGTTCCATTGCGGGGCTGACGCGGTCCCCCGAGAAAGTCTTCAGCTTCATGGAGATGTTCCGAGCGGCAACTGGGCTGAGGGAGCAGGTGAGGGGTGGGGGAGGGAGGGGAAGCAGGCAGGGAGGAACTGGTTAAGGGAGTCAAGTCAGTTGCTTGTTGGGCAAGTTGGAATTTATAGTCGACTCAAAAGGTGCAGGGAGCATGTGGTATGTGGGAGCATGTGGGGTGTGGGGTGTTTTCTTGAAACTACTCAACCTCGTTTCCTCTTCAGTTCCCCTATCTTTCCCCGAATTTCAGGTGCGATCCGTGCTGATAGCAGCAGCGGGGTTGGGAGGAGGCTCCCTTTGGCCGCAGTGGCAGGCCCTCCCAGCCCTCCTCCTCGCATGGGCCATGTTCGTTTGACAATACATCAACCCGAACCCCTCTCCTCTCCCCCACATGCCCCCTTTTTCAGGTGCGATCCGTGCTGATAGCAGCAGCGGGGGTGGGAGGAGGCTCGCTTTGGCCGCAGTGGCAAGCCCTACCGGCTCTCCTCACATGTGCCGTGTTTGTTTGAAAGCCCACACAACCTTAATACCTCTTTTCTTCCTCCATATTCCTCCCGTTTCCAGGTGCAATCTGTGCTGATAGCAGCAGCGGGGGTGGGAGGAGGCTCGCTTTGGCCGCAGTGGCAGGCCCTCCCTGCCCTCCTAGCATGCGCCGTGTTTGAAACTGTAGACGAGCTCAACAGCACGCTGAGGGATGTGGATGGGCTTACTCCTGCTGCTATGCCCTCGCCCGTCGCTCCCAAAAAGAAGCTGCTCAGCAGGTACGTTCAGTCCTCAGCAGGTATGTTCAGTCCTCAGCAGGTACGTTCAGTCCTCAGCAGGTACGTTCAGTCCTCAGCAGGTACGTTCAGGGCTCCTCAGCAGGTACGTTCAGGGCTCCTGAGCAGGTTAATCCAAGGAGGTTCGTGTGTCTCTGCTCGCCTCTGCCGTGTTTGGGACGATAGACGAGCTCAGCAGCACGCTGAGAGACGTGGATGGGCTTACTCCGGCTGTCATGCCCTCGCCCGTCGCCCCCAAGAAGAAGCTCCTCAGCAGGTTTGTCCAAAGCCGTCTAAGCAGGTTCGTGTGTCTCTTTTTGCCTCTGCTGTGTTCGAGACAATAGACGAGCTCAACAGCACACTGAGAGATGTGGATGGGCTTACTCCGGCCGCCATGCCCTCTCCTGTTGCTCCCAAGAAGAAGTTTTTTAGCAGGTTCGTTTGAAGCTTCTCAGCAGGTTCGTCTGTTTCTATCCTGTGTGGCTGTGTCTCTCTCTCTCTGTAAACCTCTGCACATACCATCCCCCCTTCAACCTCCACGCTCCACAGCCTCTCTTTCTATCCTGTGTGGCTGTGTCTCTCTCTCGAGGTGACTTTTGAGTCGACTCAAAAGGTTCGTCTGTTTCTATCCTGTGTGGCTGTGTCTCTCTCTCCCTATAAACCTCTGCACATACCATCCCCCCTTCACCCTCCACGCTCCACCCGTCGCTTCCCACTGCCCCTGCTCAACCCTTCACTTCCTACCCGCCACCCGCCACCCCTCCACCCTCCACCCTCCGCTCCCTATGCTTCACTCCCCACTTTTCACCCTCCACCCCCTATGCTCCACTACCCACCCTCCACCCCCTATGCGCCACCCCTCCAACCTCCACCTTCCACTGCCTATGCTCCACTCCCCACTCCACACCCTCCACCCTTCATGCTCCACTCTCCACTCCCCACTTCTCGCAGGATAATCTCCTGGAAGGCGCAGGAGGTGAAGAGCCAGAGCGGGGATGACGTGGACGTGTCGGTGCATGCGGTTACCAGCTATGTGGTCAACTACATTGGGCAGTTGTTGGACAGGTATGGGCTGATACCATTTACCAGCTGTTACCAGTTAGGGCATGGACGTGGACGTGTCGGTGCATGCGGTTACCAGCTATGTCGTCAACTACATTGGGCAGCTGTTAGATAGGTATGGCTTGTACTATAGCACTTACCAGCTGGAGCATGGGAACACACATGTCGGTGCATGCGGTTACCAGCTACGTCGTCAACTACATTGGGCAGTTATTGGATAGGTACGGACTGACAGGGCTGCCAGGTATAACTGGTAGCTGTTACCAGCCAGAGCGGGGATGACGTGGACGTGTCGGTGCATGCGGTTACCAGCTACGTCGTCAACTACACAGGGCAACTATTGGATAGGTATGGGCTGATAGCGGTTGGTTACCATTACCAGCAGTTACCAGCTGGATCATGGGTGTGGACGTGTCAGTCCTCGCGGTTACCAGCTACGTTGTCAACTACATGGGGCAGCTATTGGATAGGTATGTCTTATATACTAAAATAATCGCCTGTTGGAGCATGTCGCAAACGTGTCGGTCCTCGCGGTTACCAGCTACGTTGTCAATCGTATGGGCCAGCTCTTGGATAGGTATGGGCTGATAGCGGTTACCAGCTACGTTGTCAATCGTATGGGCCAGCTCTTGGATAGGTATGGGCTGATAGCGGTTACCAGCTACGTTGTCAATCGTATGGGCCAGCTCTTGGATAGGTATGGGCTGATAGCGGTTACCAGCTACGTTGTCAATCGTATCGTATGGGCCAGCTCTTGGATAGGTATGGGCTGATAGCGGTTACCAGCTACGTTGTCAATCGTATGGGCCAGCACTTGGATAGGTATGGGCTGATAGCGGTTGCCAGCTGTGCTTTCATCAGCTGGACAGGTATGTATCGGCTGATAGCAGAGCAGTTACTACCAGCTGTTACTGGCTAGAGCATGGGCGCACACATGTCGTCGGTGCATGCGGTTACCAGCTACGTGGTCAACTACATAGGGCAACTGCTAGACAGGTACAGGCTGACAGCGTCGTCAACTAGGCAGGGCAAATGGTGAACGGGTGTGGATTGGTGGTTGTCTGAGGGAGGTTTGAACGTGCCGGGGCATGCGGTTACCAGCGGTTACCAGCGGTTACCAGCCACGTTGTCAATACATAAGCAACTGCTGACATGTACGCCAATCAGAAGTAACGATTGGATATGTGTCAGTCAGCAGAGGATACTCACCTCACCCCTCCCCCTCGATATCGCCTCCCTTCCCCATCCTTCCCATTACCGTCCCCCAGAACCTCTCGAGGCAACGACTGCGCTGTGCTGGAGGAGATTTACCAGAGCCATGGGGCCGACCATTTGAAAGAGCCTAGCAGCAGGCATCAACCGCTCTCCCCCTTTTCCCTTCTGTCCCTCTAACCTCCCTTGCAGAACCTCTCGAGGCAACGACTGCGCTGTGCTGGAGGAGATGTGCCAGAGCCATGGGGCCGACCTGTTGTATCCCCACCCTCGCTCTCCTGGTCCCCTTCCCCTCCCGCCCCCAGAACCTCTCGCGCCAACTACTGTGCTGTGATGGAGGAGATTTACCAGAGCCGCTGAGAGAACGCACTTTCATCCCTCTCCCACCCCACGCTCACCCCCTTCCCACCAGAACCTCTCGAGCCAACTACTGCGCTGTGTTGGAGGAGATTTACCAGAGCCACGGGGCCGACCATTTGAAAGAGACCGGCAGCAGGCATCAACTGCTCGCCCCCTTTCCTTGTCTGTCCCTCTAACCACCCTCACAGAACCTCTCGAGCCAACGACTGCGCTGTGCTGGAGGAGATGTGCCAGAGCCATGGGGCCAACATGTTGTAACCCCACCCTCGCTCTCCTGGTCCCCTTCCCCTCCCGCCCCCAGAACCTCTCGCGCCAACTACTGTGCTGTGCTGGAGGAGATGTGCCAGAGCCGCTGAGAGAACGCACTTTCATCCCTCTCCCACCCCACGCTCACCCCCTTCCCACCAGAACCTCTCGCGCCAACTACTGCGCTGTGTTGGAGGAGATTTACCGGAGCCACGGGGCCGACATGTTGTATCCCCACCCTCGCTCTCCTGGTCCCCTTCCCCTCCCGCCCCCAGAACCTCTCGCGCCAACTACTGTGCTGTGTTGGAGGAGATCTACCAGAGCCACGGGGCCGACCATTTGAAAGAGCCCAGCAGCAGCCACCGCTCTCCCCCTTTTCCCTTCTGTCCCTCGCACCACCCTTGCAGAACCTCCCGAGCCAACTACTGCGCTGTTCTAGAGGAGATTTACCAGAGCCACGGGGCCGACCATTTGAAAGAGCCCAGCAGCAGGCATCAACTGCTCGCCCCCTTTCCTTGTCTGTCCCTCTAACCACCCTCACAGAACCTCCCGAGCCAACTACTGTGCTGTGTTGGAGGAGATCTACCAGAGCCACGGAGCCGACCATTTGAAAGATCCAGGCAGCAGCAACAGCTCCAGCCAGCAGCCCGGCCATGTGCCACAGACAACTGTGCAGGGAGCAACAGGGACGGCCAAGGAGTTGACTGCTCCTGCTCCTGCTGCTGTTGCTTCTGCTGCTGCCACGGCTGCAGCTGTTGCCACCCCAGGTGGCCCTTCCGACTCGCATCCTGCCCTAGATTCTGCCTCTGCTGCTGCCACTGCTGCTGCTTGCAGTGGTGGTTTGAATACCGCACCAGGAACTCCCAAGGAAAAGGCTCGGGATAGCCAGAATGCTCCTGGCGGTGGCAGCGGTGGCGGTGGCAGCGGCAGCGGCAGCGGTGGTGGCAGCGTTGGTGGTGGCGGTGTGAAGAAGGGCAAGGGGGCGGGTGGGCGGCAGAGGAAGAGGCAGCTAGGGGCGGACATGGAGGCACTGTTGGATGCGCTCTATTTCAACATGGAGGCCCGCGGGAGAACTATCGCTGATGGGCCCCTTGCTGCGTTGTTTGTGCTGAATAACGCCAACTACATCTCCTCCTCCATGTGAGTTGCAGCTCTTGTGATTGGGTGTGCTGAGCGGTACAGTGCGGTACAAAGATTGTGCGTCTGCCCCTAGCTACCACCAGAGGAAATGGCAGCTGGGGGCGGACATGGAGGCACTGTTGGATGCGCTCTATTTCAACATGGAGGCGCGCGGGAGGACCATTGCTGATGGGCCCCTTGCTGCTCTGTTTGTGCTGAACAACGCCAACTACATCTCATCCTCCATGTGAGTGTGGGTGATGGTACAGAGCAGTACAGTGCGGTACAGTGCAGTACAGTGCGGTAGAGTGCGGTTCAGTGCGGTGCAGAGGCAGAGGAAGAGGCAGCTAGGGGCGGACATGGAGGCACTGTTGGATGCGCTCTATTTCAACATGGAGGCCCGCGGGAGAACTATCGCTGATGGTCCCCTTGCTGCTCTGTTTGTGCTGAACAACGCCAACTACATCTCATCCTCCATGTGAGTGTGGGTGATGGTACAGAGCAGTACAGTGCGGTACAGTGCGGTACAGTGCGGTAGAGTGCGGTTCAGTGCGGTGCAGAGGCAGAGGAAGAGGCAGCTAGGGGCGGACATGGAGGCACTGTTGGATGCGCTCTATTTCAACATGGAGGCCCGCGGGAGGACTATCGCTGACGGGCCCCTTGCTGCGTTGTTTGTGCTGAATAACGCCAACTACATCTCATCGTCCATGTGAGTGTGTGGGGAGGCGTAGAGTGCGGTACAGTGCGGTACAGATGCAGCTAGGGGCGGACATGGAGGCACTTTTGGATGCGCTCTATTTCAACATGGAGGCTCGCGCGAGGACCATCGCTGATGGGCCTTTGTCCGCTCTCTTTGTGCTGAATAACGCCAACTACATCTCATCCTCCATGTGAGTGTGGGTGATGGTACAGAGCAGTACAGTGCGGTACAGTGTGGTACAGTGCGGTAGAGTTTGGTGCAGTGCGGTGCAGAGGGGAGAGGAAGAGGCAGTTGGGGGCGGACATGGAGGCACTGTTGGATGCGCTCTATTTCAACATGGAGGCCCGCGGGAGAACTATCGCTGATGGGCCCCTTGCTGCGTTGTTTGTGCTGAATAACGCCAACTACATCTCCTCCTCCATGTGAGTTGCAGCTCTTGTGATTGGGTGTGCTGAGCGGTACAGTGCGGTACAAAGATTGTGCGTCTGCCCCTAGCTACCACCAGAGGAAATGGCAGCTGGGGGCGGACATGGAGGCACTGTTGGATGCGCTCTATTTCAACATGGAGGCACTGTTGGATGCGCTCTATTTCAACATGGAGGCACTGTTGGATGCGCTCTATTTCAACATGGAGCACGGGACAGGACCATTGCTGACGGCCCTCTTGCTGCGCTGTTTGTTCTGAACAATGCCAACTACATCCAACCTCCCTCGTCCCTCTCCTTGTCCTACCAGCTCATCCGGTCGAATGCGTGATGCCATTCGCCACTCCGACCGCCTGGCAGACTACGAGTCGGCCTTTGAGAGAGCAGCGCTGTGCAAGGTACGAGGGTGGGTGTGCTGCTTTGAGAAGGCAGGTCTGCGATTGTGCGCTCTCCCATTCGCCACTCCAACCGCCTGGCAGACTACTAGTCGGCCTTTGAGAGAGCAGCGCTGTGCAATGTATGATTGGGAAGTCATCATGCTTTTGCTTTTTTTTATGGTGATCTCGCCCCTGCCTTGCTATCATGTGCCCTCTTTCCATCCCATCTGCCTCTCCTACTGCCTGGCAGACTACGAGTCGGCCTTTAAGAGAGCAGCACTTCGCAAGGCATGATCAGCAACTCACCGCTCTGTTGTTATCGTGCGTCCTAGCCCACTGCACCCCACCGCACTCTATCCCATCCCATCCCAACCCCATCCCATCCCAACCCCATTCCATCAGCTGCTGGCATGCTTGGAGCCATTGGAAGTTAGCGCCAAGATGAAAAAACTTCCTACTTCCAACCCATTGCAACCCATCCCACCCCACCCGACCCCATCTCACTCCACCCCACTCCATCCCATCCCATCAGTTGCTGGCGTGCTTGGAGCCACTGGAAGTGAGCGCCAAGATGAGTGCGGACGGCGTGAAGCAGCGGTGAGTGCACTAATGGTAGTGCCGAGGGCATGATAGTGGGTGCACTGAGGGCAGAACGGTCAGATGCACTCACCCCACACCACGTCTCCCCATCAGCTGCTGGCATGCTTGGAGCCATTGGAAGTGAGCGCCAAGATGAGTGCGGACGGCGTGAAGCAGCGGTGAGTGCAGTGAGGGTGGTGGTGAGAGCATGGCAGTTGGTGCAGTGTTCTTAGGGCACAACGGCGGGTGCACTGACATCACATGGGTGTGGCTTTGTTGATGGTTGAGTTGCTTAGAAACCAAGATGAGCGCCGACAGCGTCAAGCAGCGGTGAGTGCAGTGAGGGTGGTGGTGAGAGCATGGCAGTTGGTGCAGTGTTCTTAGGGCACAACGGCGGGTGCACTGACATCACATGGGTGTGGCTTTGTTGATGGTTGAGTTGCTTAGAAACCAAGATGAGCGCCTTGCTTAGAAACCAAGATGAGCGCCGACAGCGTCAAGCAGCGGTGAGTGCACTGAGGGCAGTGAGTGTGTTGATGGCATGACAATATGTGCACTGATCTGAGGGAACAACGGCGAGTGCACTGAGGGCAGTGAGTGTGTTGATGGCATGACAATATGTGCACTGATCTGAGGGAACAACGGCGAGTGCACTGAGATCACATGTTGTTATGGACGCATGTTTCCATGGATGCATGTTTCACAACCACGTGAATGCATGCTCCATCCCGCCATCCATCTCTCCATCCCCTCATGCCTCTCCCAATTGCGTGCTTGCAGGTTGAAGCGGTTCAATGCGGTGATTGAGGAAGTGGCATTGGAGCAGCGGCGCTGGCTCTTGCTCAGCGACAGCAGTCGCACCCCCATCCATCCCCCCATCCACCTCCCCATTGCTCTCCTCATTGCTTCCTCGCAGGTTGAAGCGGTTCAATGCGGTGTTTGAGGAGGTGGCACTAGAGCAGCGGCGGTGGCTCGTGCTGAGCGACAGCTGTCGCAAGGCCATGCGTGTGCGCTTCGCCAAGGTCATCAAGGGCTCCTACATGGACTTCCTCACTCCGCACAGGTGAGACTTGCAGTAACCAAACCCTTAATCCAAACCTCCTACCCAGAATTTCAATCCTAAACCTTCACTTTCAAGCCAAGCGACAGCTGTCGCAAGGCCATGCGCGTGCGCTTCGCCAAGGTCATCAAGGGCTCCTACATGGACTTTTTAACGCCGCATAGGTGAGGGTTGCAGTAACCAAAGTCATTAAAGGTCATGAACTCCAGGCCTGAACCCTCACTGTCAAGCCCAGCGACAGCTGTTGCAAGGCCACACGCGTGCGCTTTGCCGAGGTCATTAAAGGAAGCTACATGGACTTTCTGACACCTTATAGGTGGGATTTGCAGTAACCAAACCCTAAATCCAAACCTTCAACCCAGAACTCCAAGTCTAAACCTTCACTCTCAAGCCAAGCGACAGCTGTCGCAAGGCCATGCGCGTGCGTTTCGCCAAGGTCATCAAGGGGTCTTACATGGACTTTCTCACGCCGCACAGGTGAGTGTGTGATGGCTGAAGACCTAAAAGTTAGATAATGATAATATTGCTTCTCTTAAAATTTCATAACGATTCATTTTGCTTGTGTATCTTTCTGTGGTCTGTGTGCATGTGTCTGCGCAAAAAATGTTTTTTTTTTTCAGGGAGATAATTTCGGACATCCCAACGTACCATTGGTCCCCCGATGGAGTGGAGAGAATCATTTTGAAGAGTTTCTTCCTTGGTCGGAGCCTCCCTTGCGTCATGTCCGCCTAACGCTACGCTTTACAAAAAAATACCATGTCGGCCTGACTCAACGCTCACACTCTTCAAGACACTACCATGTCTGCTTGACAATGCCTTGACAATATCTTTAGGGTTTTCAGCAGCTTTCGATTTGGGTTTGTGTAACAATTAGGCTGAGGCAGTACAATGTCAACTTAGGAATCCTGTAATTTATGCTAATATTCAGTGGAACTAACCTAGTAAGTCTAGTCTATCTCCGTACACTCTTGATGTCGCTTATCGGACCTTTCGTATCGAAACTTTTCCTCGCTCCCTTCCTCACGTCCTGCCGTTTCCCTCCAAAAAGGTCTCTTCGGTTCAGTCCCTGTCAGAATCAGCAACTCATTTCACGCCGCCTTCCACGATCCTTCCGGAACCTCCGGTGTTCCGCATTTGACGCGCCGCACATCCGTTTCGCCCGCTTCTCCGGTTCCCGCTTCCACCGGTCCGCGTCTTCCGCGCGCCATGTCTTCCGCCAAATCCGCCGGATCTCTGCTCCGCTTCATCCCGCCGTCGTACCTTCCGCAGCG